GCCGTTGTTCAGCATGGAAACATTCAATTAGCTACACAATACATTATTGTTCTATTAATATAAAGTGAGTCAGTTACTCTATCAAAGGACAGCTGGTAGTTAGGCTACTTTTTACATTTTCAAGCCCATATTTCGTTACTTTACTTGAAAAAGAAGTTCATATCAGTTTCTCCTTTACCAAGTATTGTTTTAAACACGAGTATCGTGTACTTACTTGTACTTGAGTAAAAGATGTGTGTACTGTTGCCATCTTCTGCATGCCAGCCGTCAGGGGAAGCTTTAGAGCGCAACCAGCCCCTGATACACAGGTTGAGCTGTTACTGGCACTAGCCCAATTACCTTCTGAGAGCACGCTGATGGCGTCAGAGTGCTGTCCGGTTGCTCCATCATCGTTCTCTTTGCGTCCTGGACATGGCTCTGGTAGACAGAGTAGTGGTGCGCACCGTGGATCTCGAGCGCCGCTGTGTTTCGGCACTGGAAGTAGAAGCGAGCCCAGGCCAGCTTTCCTCCTCTGCTGCAGTCTGAAGTCAAACATCAAAAGCCTGTCCAGCACGTGAAAGGCCAGGGTGTTGGAGGAAACGCTTGCATAGGGTTTAGGATACCCTGAAAAAGGTCAAAGGCAAAAAAGTTGAAGGTTTTAAGACAGAGATGACAAAAGTACACAACATCCTTTACTCAAGTAGAAGTATACAGATAATCGTGTTTAAAAATACTCTGAGTAAAAGTAACTGACTAAACTTTTTACTCAACTGAAGTAAGTAAAGAAGTATGGCTTTGAAATGTTACTTTAAGTAAAAAAGTAACTACCAGGCTGTTTTAAAGAGTAACCTGACCTCACTTATATTAACTAGAACAATAATGTCATTGTTAGCTAATGAATGTTTTGATGTTGAACAACGGCAACATGACAATGTTTTCATTGGTCCCTCTTCTTTAGAGAAGACCAGGAAATGATTGATACACAGATTGTGTAAAAAATCAATAGGCACGCAATGACTCTAAATAATAATGATCACAACACCAAACAGATTAAAACTAAAGTAACCAGCCTGTTTTGAAAATGTAAGAAGTACAAAGTACAGGTATTTGTGTTAAAAATGTAAGAAGTAAAAGTAAAAAGTCGTGGAGTAAAGTACTGATACCATAAAAATGTACTTAAGTACAGTAACGAAGTATGTGTACTCAACTAGCTCCCACCTCTGGTTTTAGATATTGATAAAACTAGTGTGCTTCATTCTTTGTGTTCATGTTTTCTGACCTACCATTATAAACCATGTGATGAGGGCTGCGTTTCTGATGTTCCTGAAGCCATTGTCCTTGATGTCTGTCTGCATCTCCAGGTAGAAGAGGAGGCTCTCGTTGATGATGTTGGGAACCCAGCTGAAACATCAATATGTCTCATTAGCATTTAACCAATCTGTCAATGAACCCCTCTTAAAACCAACAGCTTTAAATGACTTTATTATTTTCCTTAAGTAAATATACAGCTGATATCCAGCTCTTATTTTGCTGTGGACCATGGTTATCATGACCTCCTATAACGACAATCATGAATTGGTCACATTATTGCAAGATGGCTCAATTATAAATTATCTGTTATAAAATGTATAACCTAAGTAATGCTCGACTAATGCATGACTCATGGTGAGGTAATGCAGGGTGCATCAGAGATGTGTTGTGAATTGTGATTGTATAAGGAATATTGATTCACTGTTACGTCATACATTCATTACATGCAATAAAATAAATGCATGGTTTAGAGTTGAGAATATAAAACATAATGATATGGTCCTTTGAATAAACATAATAAAATATTCTTATAAGAAAAAAAGTGTAAAAAAAAAATTACTTCCTTGAGTCTTGTTGTCGTTATAAGGTTGCCAGGAAACCAGCAAACTAAGATCACATTGTTTTTACACATTGCCAAATTAAACAAGGTATACCATGGTATTTAGTTAGCTTTAGAGGTGCTGTGTGGCAGATTGTATTGCTTTGGAGTGCCAGGCTAGCTCGTTGTGCTAAGCTAACTGGATGCTGCCTAATACCACTCTCCTGTCTGTATATTAAATATATAAGTTACAATCTTCTCCCTTAAACCTCAGCAAGAAACGTGCTGCTGAAAATGTCAGACTACTTCTTTGAGTGTATCCCTTTGATAAACAATGTTAACATACCAGATGAAGAACACCAGCATAATTTTAAAGAAGCGTATCTTTATCTCATTGGCCAGCCGTCTCTCATTTTCTGTGTAGATTCCTTGTCGTCCTTTTAGCAAAGATGTCACTAGATTGGAAGAACAAAAATAAGTAGATATTGAAAACCCATGTACATGTGTAAGAAAGTATATAACATAAAAGTATAGGAATTACCTGCAGATATGGTCAGATTAAAGAAGATAGGATTGGCCACGAGGACCAGCAGCATTGGTGCGTATGTGGTGACATAGTGAGGGATAGCATGCTGGAGGCCTTGCTCACAACTGCACACCATGCAAGAGAACATTAAAGTTAGCATTGGTAATCACAACTACATCACTGGGAGATAAGTTCTTAACCCAGTTTCAACATCTTTTTTCTATGGGCATACACACTGATTTATTCATCCACAGTTTTACTGATAGCCTCAGGCTCTTGAAAGCGAACTACAGTGACAAAATGCTGGAAGGTGGTAGGCCGTGCATCTAAGGAACAACAAAGGGACTTACTCAGAGATGGATGGATAGTAGAGCATGGCCACTCCTTCCACACACAGCAGCACGGCCAGACCCCATGTAATCATGTGGTAGAGGATAATGGTGCTGATGGGAAGAGAAACAAGTCATGAGACTGTGCTCCCAGCACATGCTGCTCTTTTATCTTGAGGATACATTTTCTTTTCAATGGAGAAAACAAATGTACAACACGGACTGAGGTTTGAAATGTATTGTTAGCCAGAGATGGGGTCGTTACTAAAAAAAAGCAATATATTACATATTACATATTACTTTTTTAAAAAGTAATATATTACACTACTTCGTTACCGTCTACATAAATTAACTCGTTACTTTACTCGTTACTTTACTCGCAGGGCCGGCCCGCCCCTTGCTACAGGCAGATCACGCAGACTGCGGCGCACCTACAGTAGCCATGTTTATGCAGCACTGCACGTGGAGACGTGGACGCGCAAATCGCGCAGATTACGTAGGCCTACATGTATACAAACCTGCGGCGGAAACCCCTCTTGTCTGTCAGTCAAGGCCGGATTAACCATATGGGCAACCTGGGCAAGTGCCCAGGGGCCCTTGAGCAAAGAGGGCCCTCAGTGACAAGATTTTTTTTTTTCCCGGGCACAACCTCACTCATCATACATTGTTTTAAATGATACTCACTCTTCGCCATAAATAACACAGCCTAACATCAATATTAAAATTATTTATGTTATTTTTGTGAAACAAATCCAAAGCCATTAATAAGACGGCCGGGTGAGAGGAGGCGGGTAAGAGTAACTCATAAAATGTTTCTCACTTTGTCGCGGGGAGATCTTACAATACTACTTTGCTCACTAACGTGAGAGACAAGCTCTCCTCCAATCGGCTTTAACCGAAGGAACCGACTTTTTTTAGCTCCCTAACTGGTTAGTCTACTCCGGGTGCAGACGAGTGTTTAGGTTAGTTGTACGCGTAGTTGAATCAAGCCATGACATTGGCAGTAGTGGGTGTCGGAATTCTTTCATCCGTTCGTTGACTTCGTTCACGTTAATACTCCCACCTCTGTCAAACCCTCATAAAGTAAGTTTTATTAAAATGATTTGAAAGACGATGTCGTCGTTGATTTTACTTTAGATACTGTCGGTTACGGGTTTACCTCGACACATGTCTCTCCTTTATTTCCTCGGCTTAGCCTGCATGTTTGAAATTTATTATGTTGTTGCCCTAAAGGATGTGGTAAACTGTAAAGTGACACCCGGCCTGACCCAGTCAAAAGGCCCCCGACTTAAAATCAGGGTCAGGCGGGGACGAGTTCTGGATCCATTATATTTAGTTTTGGAGTCTGTCGTGGGTTGAATTTATTACGGTTTTATACTGACCGACCGACATGTTCATGTTTCCTCAAGATAAACAAGTGTTTTGTGAGCTCTCAATGTTTTTCATTTTATACATCACTTTAAACACACCAACGAGTTCCCACCCGACACTAAGCGATATGTGTCGGTGGCGAATCATTATTTCAACTGCGCGGTATGTATGCACTCTTGGACTGTCATGGTCACCGGATGTCAGGTAAACTGGNGCACTTTGAGAGCAACATGAAGAGGTATACCTCTCTCAACACCCATATGAAACAGAACTGTAAGCAGATTTCCTTTTTCTTTATGGATATTTTATTTTAAACTTTATTCTTTTTTTACTGTCATATAGTATTTCATACCTGTTTTTCATTTATTCTCTTATTTTTTTATAACTATAATGATCATATAAACGTGTGCCTCGGAAATAATTGTAGCCTATATTAATGGTGACCAAAACGTTTGAGACCCACTGAGATAACACCGAGAGAGTCCTTTAGCTCACTGAGTCTCTCAGTCTGACAGGAGAGGACTCTCCTCCACCTGATTGTTGAAAAAACTCACTAGCACCAGAAGCTAACAAAAACGATCTCCGGTACTGGTGCGCTCTCTCTCGCGCACACACAAAGCCAAGCTTTAATGAAACACCGAGACCCAGACGTAATAGTACTGTATCATATTATTTTCGAATCAAAAATATGATTTTTTTTTTTTGTAACCATTTCCACCCTGTCATGCCTCTGTCACGCCTCTGTCATGCCTCTGCGCCCCCCAGGGGGGGCGCGCCCCCCACTTTGGGAACCACTGGCTCTAGCCTAATACAATTATTGGTTTGAACCATAGACTGTATAAAGGTTTGAACATGAACACAAAATCTGATTTTGATAAAGAAAAAAAAAATGGCTGTCCGTATAGTAGAGTACAATGTCCTCTTTTCTCTTTCTTGTGGCTGTAGTGGAAAGGTCAGAGCTCAGGAACAAAGAGTTAAAAGCAAATTTGTTTTGGCATAAACAGAAATGGTCAGCCTAAGAAATAAAACCTCTCCTGTCCTCAGTCTCATAACAAGGATGACATTTGGTGCTTATGTGAGCTGACATTTGCACCAAGCCTTGATATTATTTCCCTCCCAGTAGCCTATGTATGCATTAGACATTGACCACGTCCAAATACTGGAGAGGTCATGGCAGCGGCTGGATCTGCCTGCTTGGACAGAGATCTGAGGAAACGGGTGGACATTTCAAGCAGATTTATTTGGGAAACAAAGCATCAAGGGCGTCCATTATTCAGTACTACAGAGAGGGCATTCATTGAGTTTGTCAAATGGTTTTCTAATCTATATGCACCTTCTCCGACCAGGCACAAAGTCAATTGTATGGCAAACTTGCAGCCTGCTGCCAGGGATTAACAACTCCCTGAAGAATATGGTTAGCATCGATTTGCTGTTTAAATATCTGTTGCTGCCCTCTGCTGGTGTGCAAACACTGACGGAGCTCAAGAAACAACAGATATTGCTGCTTTTGGGAATATCTGTTTGTGGAAAGATATAGCTATTACACATTATTGTACTATATTTATAGCTTACATGAAGCACTAGAAAGCAGCCTAAATCAATACTTATAAGGGTGTATAGAGGTTGTGTAAGTTTATTGCCGGTGGTACTGATCCCTGCCTTTACTTTAAAGAGAGTCTGTCTAATTATCATGCCACCCATCCGCAGTCTGTTAAGTCTGAAGTGGATTTCCTGGTTTCTACAAAGCAAGCCATGAGATTATCTTTTTTAAGATCACTTGTGACCAAAAGTAATTAGGCAAAATGGGGTTTTTGGAATATTTAAAAAAACAATTCTGCTGTTATCTCCGCAAAATGTCATTACCATTACAAAAATGACAAAAAAAAAAATTGAACAGCTATGTTGATTTAGAATTAAATGAAAGAGAAGAAAACAAGCGAAGAAGAATTTTAAAAGTATTAGTACTGAATACAAAAAAATCATCAAAATCAATTCAGAGTCAAAATACACGGCCGTCTGGAATCAAACTCTGCACAAACATCATTCACAGTGACACATCTTAAAACATGTTGAAAGATGTGCACCTCTGCAATGGTAGCACAATAGTTCCTGAGGCACTTTAGGTAGTTTAGTAATGCTTTTATCCAACAATTTAAACTAAAGCAACGGATTAAAGTATTTCTATCAGTGCAACAGGTGCTGTGTTATTCTAAAAAGGCACAATATGAAGAAATATAGGCATATGGTACATCTTTCAAAGTAAAATCACATTACATCTTACTACATGGTGACTACCAACAATACATAATGCCCACAGATCATTATGTATATAAATTGATTCACTTCCGTCCAGTTTATCCTTAGTTTTACTCAAACAACTGAACGCCGCCCATCTCCTGCTGGAGAGGATGGGTGTGGCTGTCCAGTGTCAAATTACACTGAAATCACAGACCTGCTCAACAGGCCCCTCTCCCACTCCCTCTGCACCTTCATTGGTTGAGAACCAGTAGCTTCATTGTACCAGCCTGTATCCTGCAGGCAAATACTTTGTCAAAGAGGAAATGACATCACAGCAACCAGACCTGCCACCAAAACAGTGAAAACTGATGAGCAGCAAACGCCTCTCAGATGTATTTTGACTTCGAGCAGCACACAGTTCAGCCTCTGTTGTAAAAACAGCTTTTAGAACGGCAGTGAGAAGTATGTCTGCTGGACACAGAGAGACTCCGCCAGACACTGCATGTCAAAGCAGAACTCCTGTTTTTTTCTCCAACCCTTTGATGAGTGGTGAGTATCTGCGGGCAGCATATGCTGACACTGCAGTTTGTTTACTGCTCTGTACAGAATGTTTCAGCTTTTCATTTTAATGCACATGTATGTTACTTAAAGGTTGTTGGTGGCCACTGTTTCTATACCTAGATACTGAATCAGATTGGTCTCCAATTCACGATGCTGCCTTTAATGGACGTGTCCTCGCTCTGCAGAGACTCATTGCACAGGTCAAGTTCAACTGGACTTTGCATGTTACATTAAACTGCATTATAAAATGAAATGTATCTATGTATTTATTGAGGACAAATCTGAAACTCATCACATTGCTTATACTGAGATCTTGTAGTAACACTAAACGTACTAATATACATCTACAATGTTACATTTTCTGTGTGTGTTCACAGGGTATGTGTGTGAATCTGAACACTCTGGACCAGGTCTCCCCCCTCCATGGAGCATGTTTGCAAGGCCACACAGCGTGCGCCAAGCTTTTGATGGAAAATGGGGCAAATGTCAGTAAGGCTCCATTGTCTGGATATGTCTTTTCTTTTATAAATACATTTAAGATGATCTCAAAGGAAGACAATATGTTTTGTGTCCTTATTTACCAGAATCCTCCCCTAGTCTAGTAAGGAAGCAGCCCATCAATTATTACTGGGTTTAACTTTGTTTTGGTGCATTTAGTAAGAGATTAACCAAACAGAGACAAAGCATGCAGACACATTAAGGAATGCACGTTTAACATAAATCTGAGGATACAACACTGTATGTTTAAAGGAAGACCCTCACTGAATATGGTAGACATATAATCAAGGCTATATGAGGTTTATAACTTAAAAACGTAAATCTTTACACTTGCTAAACAACTTTTTGGTCTTGAATTTCTGGTAAATCGTCTCAAAACTATCCTCCCCCTGTCAGGTTAATGGTTCAACAGTGGATGGACAGACTCCCCTATCAGAAGCCTGCGCTCGGGGCCATGTGA